CAGAAGCGGAAGAGGAGGGGGAGGTAAGGGGCAGGTTAAAAACCCAGAAATAAAGAGCATCAGGATTTAAGGAGCTCTGTCCCCTGGCATAATAAATGTGAAGTGGCCTGCACGGAAAAGGGGCCTTAGCAAATGGCTTTGCTTTTGGTTTTCACACTAAGCACACGCACTTCAGCTGTCTTCAATCAAGACAGCCTGTTTTGTTTGGCTCTGTTGATTTCCAACGGCAAAGGAGTGGGAGGGGGAAACAGATCGTTAATGAGTTTCTGCCAGACTCAGCACTCGAGAGAATTGGTGGGTATTATTTTTAAAGATTGATTTATGGTCTTTGATCCTCACCACTTTTGTCCCTCCTCGGGAATGACAGTCAAATGCGCCCCACACTTGAGGACATTAGGGGAAGAAAGGGGTCTGGGAACAGGAAGGGAATGTGCTGCATTCTGGGAGGATTCGGTCAAGGGATGCTTGAGCAGCCTTTTGAGCGGCTCGACGAGGTGAAGCGAGTGGAATGAAAAGGTTGAAGGAAGGAAGAAGACTTTAACTACATTTGAAAAAAACAGTTCCTTGATGAAGATGTAAAGGCCTGAGACGCAGGGCAGCACGGACCACAAAGACTGTAAGGAAGCTGCATCTAAAAGGGAGCATGGGTGCTCAGAGCTGGCCACAAAACTTACCTTATTATTTGCACTCCAGTTTACTGACCTGTATTCCTACGAGGGAGACCCCTTTGTGCTAGGGGCTGGATGCTCATAGTAAGGGACAGTCCTTGCTGCCAAAGGCACACAATCTACTCCTGATCTTATTGTAGGCACTGTCAGTCGTCCCATTAAAGGCACGGGGACTATTCACACTGCATCAAGTGAAGCATGCACTTAAGTCTTCAAAGGGGAAATGGAGGCACAGCAAGGTGAAGTGACAGCACACAGCAGGTCAGAGGTGGAAAGAGACTTCCCGTGTATTGCCCCATCCACTAGACAACACTACCTCTCAGCAAGCAGCTTTCCTATGCCCTTCCGCCGATTGTAGAAGCAGCAGTGAGTTAATACAAGATAGTATAAATCAGATTCTGTTTAAAGAGCTAATCACAGTGCACAGTTATGGCCGACATTTGTTTTCTGCCCGGCTTTGAATGAGACAACTTCCTTATCTATAGCCTGCTGCCATCCCCATCCCTAGAGCTATGATCTCATCAACTTTCCTTAGTTAAGCAGGGTTGATAATTGCGGGAGACTCCTAAAGAAACTCCAGGGGGCTGCAGAAAGTGATGTAGACAGTTCGGTAGGCAGAGGTTTCTGTATGATCCAATACCGCAGAATGGTGTAAGTAGGTGCTGGAGGTGGTAGAGAGGCTGGAGAAGTTGTACTGAAATGTAACAGTATGGGCAAAGTTCAGACATGAACTAACATATCCAGCTGAGATTGGAAGATGGGGTGGCATTAAGGTAAGAAGAATATAATTACCTGAGTTGGATTTTGTCCAGGATAACAGTATTATTAAATAAGATAAATAAATAAATACACTATTAAATCTTTCCTGGCCAGAAGTGGTAAAGGCCTGGGTTTCACATCTCACCCCACAGATGGCAAATCAATACCCGCACCCACGAGCACCATCAGTCCAGTACTCAGGCGGAGGGAAAGACCTCCTAATAAGTCATCATCATCATCCCCATGTCTTGCAGCCCTAGGTGATGACTGCAGTGCTCTGACACTATCCCAGCACAAAGTGGTGCAGCTGCTGGTTATTCACCCTAGCAGGCAGGTACATCACTTGTCTATTCCAGCAAGGCCATGCCTGCACATCTGGTGCAGTGAGAAACCTCGCCCCACTGTGCATGGTCCTTCGGGTGCGTTAGATTAACATTCAGCCAGGGATATAGCTCCAAGCAGGTTCTGTGGAGTGTAGCCCCCAGTTGGATCTGGTATTAATTATCCAGTGTTCTGCAGAGAGATAAGTACTTAATCCTCGAGCTGTTGACACTGGAAATGGACCAATCTACCCTGGGGTGGATATTATGGAAGGGAACTTGGCTCCAGCAGCTCTCCCTGCCACATGTGCTGTGCAAATGTTCTCTTACTCATAGGTAATGGGATTTCATAGAGCATATGGGATCTTTCTGTGGCAAAGCTAATCTGCAATAATATATGACCCAAGCGCTTAGTTGTATACAATTTCTCCCCTTTTTTCAACCAAATATTTTAATTCTTAGTTGGAATTTTTCTTTTCTAGCGCTCTCCTCCTTTTTGCTTTTAATTATCAATCACCATCACATAAAGGCATGTGAGCTGGTGAAAACGGCAGCATTCTTCTCTCTAGTCAAACTGGCCAATGTTTGCACAGCAAAAGCTGGTGGTTCTTTACAATTCCAAACTTCTGCTCTCTCTTCTATGCAAGAATTTGCCTCCTACATTCTGGGACACGCTATTAACCCACTCCCCCATCTCTCCTCAGCCTTTGCTTGTCATCCTCTCTGCTTTATTCTCTTCTTTCTTCATAGTGTGTGGTTTATAGGGATATTTCCCAATAAATACACATTTTAAATCCACAAGCAGGTATGCATTTTTAGGTAGGGTAGTATTATATACAGATTACAATAAGCACAGGTCACATGGTACAATATTTGTCTACATTGATATATACAGGTTCTTGGGACAGTACTGATATACACAAGTATGCGTTGCAATATTATCATACACTAGTAAGTCCACATATAGTTGGTGGTCAGTTTCTGTACCCAGGTGAAGACATGGGGATTTGGTGCAGAATTACGATTCTTGGTTAAGTATGCCGCTGTTATTTTTGCTGTATATAAATGAGAGGTTGTTACCTTCCTAGGTATAATAGTTATTTATATTATGGTACAGTCTAGAAGCCCCAACGAAGATTAGGGCCCTGTTGTGCTAGGTACTGTACATACACATAGTGAGAGACAGTCCCTGCCCCAAAGGCAAATGGTAGGTGTGGAAAGAGGCTCGGAGATCCGCGGACAAAGGGGTAGCATGGCGCAAGCACAAAGCATTACAACTGCAACTCATTGACATGTGTCTCCCACCAAAGTTCCCCGTCTCTGGCAGGGATGTCCTTAACAGTCTGCAAGAGGAACTCACCCCATATGCCCCATATGGTGAATGGTAACAGATATAGCAACAGATTTTTGGGGAGGGATAGCTCAGTGGCTTGAGCATAGGCCTCCTAAACCCCAGGGTTGTGAGTTCAATCCTTGAGGGGGCCATTTAGGGATCTGGGGAGTGGTCCTGCTTTGAGCAGGGGTTGGACAAGATAAGGTCCCTTCCAACCCTGATATTCTATATATTCATGAAAAGCTGCCCTCAAGTGAGTTCAAGACAGGATATTCAAACCCTCTTGACAGGAGAGAACCCTAGGCTCACTCTCTCTACTGCCCAATCCTATATTCCATGGCTTTAAGAATTGCAAATTTCCTCCCCTCTGACACTGCAGGATCTGATTTATAGGTGAGGGACTTTCCCACCAACCAGTCTTTTTATTTTGTCCTCTCTGGTTTACATTGGGTACGACCTGAGATATCCAAAACTTGAGGTTATGGCCATGCAGCAGACCAAAAAAAACCCCAAACAAACAAACAGGGAAGCCCCTAGCCAGACCTGCAACAGGGCTCAATAATGTTATATCAGATTGTGGCTGATGGCCTCTTCTCTTAGGGCCTCTTCTAGACTCCTTTAGGTCAAGGCAGGTCAGGATATGCTGTAAACCAAAATTATGGGACAGAGGAGCAAAATAGCAAGCCAAGCAGTGAGGAGGAAGAAGTGAAATGGGATGCTGAAGGGCAATCTGTGGCCTAAGAATAACAAAGAGAAATTGGAGATGGAAAAACCTGTTGGGTCCCACCTTCTATTCCACACTTTCTGCCATCGTGGGATGGATTGTCCCCTATGTTATGTTCTCCAATTCTTTACCCAAATTCAGTCTTAAATGACTCAAACAAGGACTTTCTTCCTTTCCACTTGCGAGGCTATTCCTTCCCCTAAGAGATCATGGCATTGTTAGGAAGTTTTCGCTCATAGGCAGCCTAACATTTCCTTTTGCTCAATTTCATCTGAGTCCTCCTTAGCTTTTGGGCTCCCTCAGACCATCCTAAATGACCCCCCTCCCTTAGTGTCTCCCTATGGAAAGAGCAGGGTCTGTGTCTTCAAGGCTACCGCACTAGTGCTACTCACCCCTCCGGCTAAATGTCCTCTACAGTGAAAATGATGCACACCCAAATCCAGCACAATGATTGGGGACTAGTGGGCTCGTGTGATAGGCTAATGCTCTTCCCTTTCAGTTTGTGGGTAATTGAGTATAACCCTTGTAAGGGAGGACAAGCACATTGGGATGTAGTGTAGAATGGAAATGATCGCCATGACTTTGCAGGCCTCTCTCATGCCAGCTCTCCCCCATTATCTATTTTAAACTGTCGAGAATCACAGGAGGCAGGGTCCTCTTAGATGAAAAAGTTCAATGCCAGCCAGACTGTGGCTTGGGACCTGGTGAAATGTGGCCCATGTGCTGGAGAAAATGCAAATATTTTTGTTGATGCTCATGCGCCCTGTTGACCTGCTTTAACATTAATTCAACAGCGGGGCACCATTAGCCCATGATGCCACTTGAAGCCTTTGGTATGCTGTAGAGATTGTGACCCAGGGGTATCGTACAGTGATGGGCAATAGATATAGAATACCACCATGTGCTGCTTCTACAACATACCTGGTCTCTAAAGCACTGTGCAAACAACAGGTCAACCCTAACAACACCCCTCCCGATTTTACAGCTAGGGAAACTGAGGCACAACAAGATTAAAGTGACATGCTCATGGTCACACAGCAAGCCAGGGCAGAGCTGGGGATGGAACCCTGGAGTCCGGACACCCACTGCCTGCTTTAACCATCCTCCCACTTAGCTACCAATGAGAGCTGTATGATAAACTCCTTTGAGCACCAGTGAGGTGATGGACCTCCAAGAACTTGCTGCAAGAGGCAGTCTATGGTTATAGAAACTATTTTATTGCCCATGTGCCTCATATAAGTCAGTTCCTTTCCTCCACAGAGTAGCCCAGCCACGAATCAATGGTAGAGATCCTCTGGTGAAGCTGAGATCAGGGACAGTCTCACATTCCAAACAGCACCCGGCCTTCATGCTAAAGAAGCTGCTGCTCGACGGTGGTGCGGTGCCTGCATCATAACCCCGGGACCCTTAACAATCCCCACTTACAAGACAACATGGGGTGGGAGAGCCATTGCCCCATAATCTTCAATTTTCCCTGCACAGGCAGATGACTTGGGGATGGATGTGGTGCCCTCCAGTTCTGTTTCACCCCAGATCCCTCTCCTCAGCCTGGACAATGAGGGATCTTGAAACAAGATGATCTTGGAGTTGCGATGGTGTGAGGCACCTTCCCCTGCCCCTAAGGCAAGGCAGGAGCTTTCCGCTAGTTACCCATCACTCCGGAGTTCCGACACATTTGGATGGACAGCACCAAAGGCAGGAACTCCCCCTGGGGATGTCTTCTTGTCTCCATCTCATCTTTCCGGGAAGGAACAAGGGTGGGATGAGGATTTCTCCACGCATAGACATCCGCCCTGAACGGGAGAAGGTCAGGCAGGAATCTCAGCACTGTCAGCCTTCGTTCAATGAGGAGCTAAGTGGTGAATTCATTTACTAGGGATAAGAGCTAATCCTTCTTCTCTTTGCCTTATATGGCATGCGAGTCGATGGGAGTTCAGATGATGGGACGTCCTGGGGTCATGTCTCTGCACATCAGTGCCAGGGCCCGAAGGCCTCGAACCAACCCTGATGTGCCACCGACCATTCTGGGTCAGGACTACTCAGATTCAAGAGACATGCAGGGCATGAAATTACATCCAAGTAGGATTTGTGGCTGGCCTGGCCTCACTTAGCAGCCTGCTTGCCCCAAGAGAGATCAGGTGCTTTCCCGCCGTGAGCTCCTTGCTCTCCATCACGTGAGCTATGGAATGGACACTAATGTTACACACAAACATCTCCATCTGCTCACATTGGGCATAGTCAGTCACCCCACCAACAAGGAGAAGCCTGAAAGAAGCCTCATGTTGGACCGGCTGGGGTAGTTAATTAAGAAACTTCCAGCCCTGTCCAGCAAACACTGAACGCCAGTCACCTGATGCCTATGAATTCTTTTCTCTGCTGCTCATTTTTCTTTGCTGCTGGCAACAGCAGCCCTGGTTAATGTGGGGAAATGCTTGCTGTCTCGAGGCTGTTAGAGACAGATGAAGTTACAGTTGTTGTTTTGGGATCATCACTGGGGTTATTAAGTATCAAAAACTCCAGCAGAACGTCCGAGAGGCGGTAAACCAAGTGCCTGAAAGAGACAGAGGAGAAAACATAGGCTTGTCAATGCAAAGAGACAGAAGTCTGACATGTCTGCTAATGGTGGGAAGTCTGCACTCACTCAAGCAGGGTATGCACCTGTGTACAAGGCAGCCATTAGAGGCGAAATTCACTGCCGAGCCCCAGGCTGGGGTGCGGGAGGGGCGGGAAATCCCACACATTAGAAGAGGAGGAAATGCTTCAATGGGTGGGTGATTTTTTCCCCTGAACATTGGTTGCCTGATGCTGCTGAGAAGTTTGGAAGGTTAGAATCAGTCCCAGGAAGAAGGATTACTACGCAGAATGCAACGGAGGGGCTCAGAGATGCATAATATATTTTTACATAATGGTGGTCAGTGGCGTGCCATCTGTGTATGCAACACATCCACTGCATGACCACAAAAGCCCTGAATATGACTTCCTGACCGGCTCTGCCCATGGGGACGATTTTGATTCTGATCGAGCTATAAAGTATAAAGAGCAGTGTAGCTGTGGCAACATAGCCAGCGGTAGCAGACGTATTCTGAGCCATCCAGAGCGCAAACCTGACAGAAACTGGTGGGTATGTACCCGGCACAGTTCAGCCGTGCCTCCGCTACTATGACCCGTGCTACTGCGGCCACACGATTGTTTATATTCACGTTAGCTTGATGAGAGCTAGTGTAAGCATGTGTACACAAGCAGAGGAAAATCACACCTGTAGTGTAGACACAGCCAAACTTAAAGCCATTCCAAACAATGGGACAACCCCGGATTGGATCTGCCTTCATCTCCTGCCGCACTATTTGTATCAATGAAATCAGCAGATCGGCTGAGATAATTCATAGCATGTTTAGGTTGATATTTTCTAATCGTCACCTCATGTCAAAGCCTCAGGAGATGAATTTTTGCAGTGAGCCCCCTTGGTCTGAAAAAGTCTACTCATTCCACTGAGATTTTTCATCATTGGAAACTTTCTAACCAGTGGGGTTTTTCAAGGGAGTCTACCGTGCGATGCACTACTTGGTTATTGCATAGCAATGACCGTGGCTTATGGAGGCTAAGAAGGCCCTGTTGTCAAGGCTACCTGTTTATGATGGGTTGCCGTAGTGACTCAAGGACCAGGTTCCAGCTCAGTCGACATCTGCTTGTCCCAAGGATTTCAAGAATTAAGTCTGTTAACATCAGAGAGACACTTTGTCTTTAAAAACCCACATCTACATTACAATACAGGGCACATTGCACTTGTTCAGGAACTCAGTGGATGTTAAAGGGCTTTTCTATCTGATTAGATGTCCCAAAAAGTAATGCTCCCCTTCCCCCCACTTGGAGAAATACCAGGAAAACACACACCTTAAAGCCCAATCTTAATATCAGACATAACGTACAGCTCTAGAACCAAATGTAGAAGAGAGCTTCCGGACCAAAGAGACAACCTCCGGCTAATTATAATAAACAGCAGATGGAAAAGAATCTTAACATGCTTTACAAATTATCCACAGATGGATTACTTCACCCACTTCTGAAATGCAGCCACCTCTGGGGTGGACCACACAGCAGCTATTTTAAAACAGAGGGAAATGTAAATGAACACCATCTGGCCAGCATATCAGGGCTAATAATTGTAGTTGTATGGAAAAGCGCCCCAATTTTTTTTAAATGATAGCAGAAAGAATTCTGTTTTATACCTCCTCTGAAAGATAGTACCTTCAGCGGAACAGCACCTTCTTGCTGTGCTGGGGCGCTGGCTCCCTAGCGAGTGGCTCTGAAGGAAGAGCATCACCTACTGAGTGGCCAGTGCTAAAGGCGGGAGATGAGGCGGCCTGTATTTAGAAGTCACCAAATGGCAGGCCCTCTCTCCCTCAGAGCCCTGGACTTTGCTGAAACAATTGTGTGAATTATCTCAAGTAACTCTGGGGCAGCACGGTGGCTGTTCACTTGGAAGCAGTGGGAGCCTTATTGATGGGTCATTAACTCCTGAGGTGATGTGAATTTGCCAGGTCTTGGATCTTGCCGCGGCTGAAAATGGGGTCAAAACTGCACAGAGTTTAGAGAGCGAGAATTGCTATTTTCCAAAGTGTTTCACACTAAACACACCAAACGGGGGCAAAGAAGGGACGGCTTCAAGTCCATGCCTCCGATATCACGTGTGGGTAAACACAAGCAGGCTCTCTCATGCTCTGAAACCAGATCTCTAGAGGTGACAATGCAATGCGTTCACTTGTGGGGCTCCCCAGCTCTCTGCCTTGCCCTGTTCTCAGGGGTGGCCAATGAGCCTATGACAAACTCCCGTTCGTTTGCAGTGCTCGCAGCCCATGGTGCTCAGCACCTGAGGCACATTAAGCATTGGTTCCAGGTGTCACTATCGCACCTGCGCGGTGGAATGGATTTCAGAGCCTGATCCCTAAAGAGCCAAGGCCCGTTAGCCAGATACCACAGCTAGAAGCCGTTGGGTGTTTATCGCATGGCAAACTCACCAGGAAGGAGTCCCATCAGGCTCTGCAAGGCCTGCTGTGCCGTCGCCTCCTTCTGCTCCTGCGTCCTGAAAGGTTTAGGCACCGCTGGTAAGACTCCCCCGGGCCATATGGATTCCTGCAGCAATCGGAGGTACTGGACCCAGCGCTGAGTGCAGGTCAGGTTAGTCACCTGCACTTCCAGCCATCTGCAGGCAGACAGGGGGAGAGAGAGAGAGAAAGGTGAAAGACGGCTACAGTGGGAATTAGCTCGTGAGCCTCCCACTGATCTGGGTCTCCTGGAGAAGGGCTGATGGGCTTTATAAAATGCTACCCCCTTCACAGCAATGGCCCACAGGGTATTGCAGCCACTTCACAGCCATTAATTAGCTGCTCCTCCTCACTCACCTGTGAGGCAGGTAGAGATGGATACCCCCATTCTACAGATGGGAAAACGCAGGCACAGAGCCCAAGGGCCAGATTAGGGACGCTCTTGCTTCCACTGCGGAGGAGTTACTCACATGATGTCAATAGAGCTACTCATGGAACTGGCCCCCGATGGGACCCTGGCCTGTGCTGTACAGGTCAGACTAGCCCTTGAAGCCTGGATTGCTCTAGCTCTTAACGAATGGCTTGAGGGCAGATTACGGCACAGATGAGAGTAGAGCCCAGGGCTCCTTGCTCCACGTCTGGTGCCTTATCGCCAAGAGCATCTTTAACGCTTTTGGTTTCAGAATCAACCCAGCTCAGAGACCCTCCCCCTCAGCCAAAGCCAAAAACAGGCATTCTTGATGCTTCACTGTAAAGAGAAGACAGTTCCCTGGGGATTTGGAAGCCCCCAAGCAGCAGCATCCCCTAAGCTGTGGTAGCAGAGGGGAGTATGTTGTATTACCAGTTTTCCTCCCCTCCCTGATCCCATTGCCAGCACAGCCTGGCGAGGGAATCTGGTCTGGTGTTGAGTGCCTTCCTCGTCCCACTGCTAGTAGAGAAAGTCAACGCAGGACCCCATGTGGTGCTTTGCCATTGCTTGTGCCAAAAGCCAGCCCCCATTTGGGTTGGGGGAGAGTTAGTAAAGGCTAAGTGGAGATGCTTGGGAATAGAAGGGGCTGGAGGACTCTAAGGAGACAACTGAAGGTCTTTAGTAATGCTAGTTCTTAAGACCAAAGCTATAACTTCCTAGGGCAGGGAGGTGAAACTGTCCTTGTGTTTTGTACTCCTCTCCTTTGCTGGCTTTCCCTCCCCTCCTCTTCAGTTCTGCTCCTCTCCATCACTGGAGGGCAGTGAAATCATTGCAACTTGCATCCAAAAATCTATATCGTACATCTATTAAAAGGAAAGTTATGTACCCTCCAAAAAAACTTCGCACTGGACCTCCTGCTGGGACAGGACTGTGCCCTTTATATGGTAACAACCTGCAAATCCTGAGGCTACAGCCACGGGAATGTCATTCCGGATAGGAGCCGGGAGGCATGTGCAGCCAGTGCAGGAAAGGTTCATTGACACCACCCATGCTAGCCAGAAAATGTTACTAAATCAAGTTTGGATCCCCAGACTCCAAGACATTACAGCATTCTCCCAAGTACCAGAAAAATGCCTCTGCAGTCAGTCAGCCATCAGCTTCGGAGCTCTCCCTGCCCGCAAAAATCAGCCATGCAGGGTGGAACCCTTTAGGCCTCCTGGGGAAGCATGATCTTAACCCTGATGCTGCTCATGTCAATGCTATGACTCCCACTGACTTCAGCAGAACTAGGACGCAGCTCCAAGGCACTGAAAAGACCAGTGCAATACTGCCGGCTGTGGGAAACTTGCAGCCCCTCTCTCCTCAGTCTGTGCCAGCAGAGGGCTCTACAGGAAACAATGGAGTGTTGACTATGGGGAAAGCTTGCAATTTCTCCAGGCCTTCAGTTTCCTACCTCCTATGGTTCTAGAGTCTGGGATTCAGCCCGAGCCTGGAAGTCTACACAGCAATGAAACAGCCCGGCAGCCCAAGCCTTGCAAGCCCGAGTTGGCTGGCATGGGAAGCTGTGGGTGTCTAGTTGCGGTGTAGACGTACCCACAGAGTCCCAGCAGATAGCAGCCCATGAGCAGCGTCGGGAGACCTGTCCCATTTGGCAGTCTGTGCTGGTGTTCGTAATTCCATCATCACTATGCTCCAGTGGCTTGTAGTACATCCAAGAGCCGGGCCCTGCCAAGACAAACTTTATTTAACCTGCGCTCTGCCAGACTGTCTGCATTCTTCTCAGCCTGGACATGCTGGCCAAGGGCTTCTTTCCCGGCTTCCAAACGCAAGTGGACAGAACAAGAGCGGCACTAAGAATAGAAACACCCGAAGGTAACTGAGGGAGAAAACTCTGGGTAGTACCAATGGTTGTCAAGGGGCAGGGCTACAGTGATATCATTCCTCATGTGCCCCTGCCTTATGCCCTAAGAAATACATCTCTCTACCAACCGGCTTCCAGGCACCCATGCGCACACGTATACATATGTGCATGTGCGCGCCAGTTAATAACTACGAATAAAAGTAAAGAAGACAAGAAAATAAAACCAGTCATGGTTCCACAGAGCTGTAAGGTCTTTGTAATCCCACTCAAAACAGCCCTGTTCCTGGCACTTCTCTGGGGCAGCTGGATGGTTATCCCAGAGACTTGGGGCAGCTGGGGAAAAGATACCATCAGCAGTGCTTCTGTGCGTATTGCCACAGTACCCCGTGATTTCAACTGGGATCAGAGCCTTCTTATGCTATCCGAGCATGCCCTTGGGATCAATAGGCTAGTCTGCGCCAGCCTGAGAGAGCAAGGTAACAAGAGCATCGTCTAGGGCAACAGCACCATTTGAAAGTGCGTTGGCTTAAACCCAACTTTGCCCCCAGTATCAGCACACTTTAACATCTTTAAAAACTTGCTAGCCATGCTTAGTTGGTAATGGTACACTGTAGGGTCAACCACAACCAACACACACGGTTTTCAAGGCGTGGAACTGCGCCTACTTTAGGGGCAATGCCATGCTTAAAATCAAGTTAATTAATAGATTTCCAGTGTCTGAGAGGGTCGCAGATTTTTCATTGGATTAATCTCCACTACATTCAATAACCTTTATGTGCTTGCTTCCTACAAAGAGCAAACATGTTTCCTGGCTGGAACATCATCGAAAGGGAAATTTTAAAGCAAATGTTGCAGAAAGTTAATTTTGAATGTGGGATCGTCAGTATCAGCAGCATAAGCCTGACTCTGAAGACTTACTCTCATCCAGTTAGGGGACAGGATGTACAAATGGTTACAGGCCATAGATCTTGTGATATAAAGCCCAGGATGGGGAGGGGGTTATTTTGTACACGCTTTGATTTTCTCTTTTCAGTCTAGCTCCGTGCTTCCCAAATTGGGGACTGGGTGCAGGAACAGAGGAGAGGGCTGATCCAGATTCGCTCCCCGAGTGCTGCTGCTGCAGTGGGCAAAGCAGCAGATAGCTCTTTAAAAGGTGCCCAAGTTTCCACCCTGCTCCTAAGGCAGCCCCTAATGCAGCCAGTTTCAGGAGCAGCTCATATGGGTAGGGATGCAGCCTGCTGTCCCAGTCGTGCTCAGCGGCAAGAGCACACATGTCTTGGCTACTTTTGATCCTCAATTGTTCCAAACAATCTGTCGGCTCCGGTGGGCTGGGGACCAGAAAGATGGGGAAGCCCCACAGAGAGAGAACTGAAAAGAATCAACATTAGAAAGCGAGATGAGAAAAAGAAAGAAAGGAGACACACAAGTTGAGGAGAAAAAGAAAATGAAGGGACAATTGTGGCACAGCCAATGGGGGCTCCCTTATACCATCCCATTCAAGGGTGGATCTACCAAAAAAAGGCTGGGAAGGTAGGAATTGCTAGACAAAATTGGACGTGGGTTCCATCTAACCCAGCGCATTCCTTCCCTGAGAGTGGCTGTCGTGGGATAAGAGGGAAGGGGCTCTCATGGATCAGTAACTGGTTAAAAGATAGGAAACAAAGGGAAGGAATAAATGGTCAGTTTTTAGACTGCAGAGAGGTAAATAGTGGTATCCCCCAGGGGTCTGTACTGGGACCAGTCCTGTTCAACATATTCATAAATGATCTGGAAAAGGGGGTAAACAGGGAGGTGGCAAAATTTGCAGATGATACAAAACTACTCAAGATAGTTAAGTCCCAAGCAGACTGCAAAGAGCTATAAAAGGATCTCACAAAACTAGGTGACTGATCGACAAAATGGCAGATGAAATTCAATGTTGATAAATGCAAAGTAATGCACGTTGGAAAACATAATCCCAATTATACATATAAAATGATGGGGTCTAAATTATCTGTTACCAGTCAAGAAAGAGATCTTGGAGTCCTTGTGGATAGTTCTCTGAAAACATCCACTCAATTTGCAGTGGCAGTCAAAAAAGCTAACAGAATGTTGGGAATCATTAGGAAAGGGATAGATAATAAGACAGAAAATATCATATTGCCTCTATATAAATCCATGGTACACTCACATCTTGAACACTGTGTGCAGATCTGGTTGCCTCATCTCAAAAAAGATATATTGGAATTGGAAAAGGTACAGAAAAGGGCAACAAAAATGATTAGTGGGATGGAACAGCTTCTGTATGAAGAGAGATTAATAATACAGACTTTTCACCTTGGAAAAGACATGACTAAGAGGATATATGATAGAGGTCTATAAAATCATGACTAGTGTGGAGAAAGTAAATAAGGAAGTGTTATTTACTCCTTCTCATAATATAAGAACTAGGGGTCGCCAAATGATATTAAACAAAAGGAAGTATTTCTTCACACAATGCACAGTCAACCTGTGGAACTCATTGCCAGAGGATATTGTGAAGGCCAAGAGTATAACATGGTTTAAAAAAGAACTAGATAAGTTCATGGAGGATAGGTCTATTAATGGCTATTAGCCAAGATAGGCAGGGATGGTGTCCCTAGCCTCTGTTTGCCAGAAGCTGGGAATGGGCGACAGGCGATGGATCACTTGATGATTATCTGTTCTGTTCATTCCCTCTGAGGCACCTGGCATTGGCCACTGTCGGAAAACAGGATACTGGGCTAGATGGACCTTTGGTCTGACCCAGTATGGCCATTCTTATGGGCAGATGGGAGCAATATTTTAGATCATTAAAGGATCATGAGCAAAAATGCCTCTGCTTTAGCCATTTTATTTGCTGCATGAGGCAGATTGGATCAATTAATGGA